AGAGACAATTTGCCCCCAAATGTTCGTTTTTGGCAACTAGGCCTCTTGGACATTGTTCTTTCAGAATATCCTGACAAATCCCATAATTTCAGAAATTTCATTTTTATGACGTCACACTTTAGTACTCTATTAGCGCTTCTGACAGGATTCCGGACAGATTTTGCATCATCAGTATTGAATTTCTGTCGCTGAGTCGCAGACGTTCTTCCTTGCGAAACGTCTCTCAGCGGCGATAAGCGAGGAGAAACGTCTGCCACTCGCAGGCTATATTTCTCGGTACCAGGAGTTTCTTTTCAAAAATTGTGTAAAGGAGTAAAGAAAATGATAAGGTCTGTAAATGCAGTTTGATTTCATTGTGGTTTGATTTCATTTAAAACTGTGCACAAAAAAAGAAGGGGATTGCTTCAGCCGATTGTGAGAAAGGAGGATTTGATTGCCGAGCGTTCGGCTGCTTTCTTGACCACTTTTATATGTAATTTGGTTGACGCCTACAAATTTCACGGTAATTTAAAAACCGCTTGATAATTTTTTTAAAAAACTTGACAACCCCGAGATTAATCATCAATTTATATTGCCTCCAAGTTTCAAGGACATTGAAAACAGGGAAAGGCAATTAAACGTTACTTCAAATGTCACAAATTTTCCCCCCAGATTTTGTGTTTACAAGTGAACATCCTCATTATTCACTGGCATTGTTTGCAAGTTTCATATACAAGTGCACAAACTCTAGTGAAAAACTTATTTGCATTGAAACACCGGGCCCCTCCACAGCAAAATTAAGAAAGCTGGAAATGATACCGAGATAAAACTCTTATTTGATAGCAATAGTCGTTTTAAATTGAGAAAGAATCTTTGTAAAATTTACTTTTTGTTTATGTACGGTTTGGGTTTTTCTGTGCCTTAAGTGGCTAAAATGGGACCTTTTCAAGATCTCTTTTTCGACAACAGTCCATAATTGTATCATTTAAAAGGGTGACATTAATTTGTGCCTCGTTTTTGTCAGTTGAATAAAAGCTACTTAGACATACAGCTGAAATTTTCAAGGTTTACACTGATTTTGAGACATGCGCAGTTACTCTGTCGTGACCATTCAGAATCTGAATGTCTAAGACGAAATAATTATGTCAACCCTTTAAACAAACTCCAGACGCTGACTTTTATCTTTTTCTTGGTGGGTTGCGCCTCTTTCTCGCAGCTCCGCAGCTTGATTTTCCTATGATTTGGGAAACCAAAAATACACCCTCTAGCACCCAGCAGGGTTTGCTTCCTTGGAAAAGCAAATATAGGTAAGTGCCGCCCTAAAGGATATAGATTGTACGTCGCGTCGGTCTGAAAACGGGTATAGACTTTGCACATTTTGGTCTAGAATCGGGTATGGTTTTCTAGGTGGGGGGTGAATAGGGGTATGCAAATCCGCCGATCCGTTATGATTTATTAACCAAATCCGCCGTTAAATTTTCGCCCTGAATCCGAAATCCGGACAAAAATATTTGTATCACTCGCAAAGTCCAAAAATCCGGGCCCAAAAAATAGATGAATCCGCACTCCGCTGCAGTTGCAGGATCCGGAAATCCGTTAAAATCTCGCTTTGAATCCGAAATCCGGGCAAAAATATTTTCAAAATCCGAGGATCCGTTCACCTATTCACCCCCCTCTTCTAGGCAACTACGAGAGTGATGAACGTATTCGTCGTTTCAATTCCACATGAATAAGTCAGAAAGAAAGATGATATGCGCATGATTCGAAATGGATTTTAATGTTTAAGAGATTCTTTCGTTGGCGTTCTCATTTAAGTAATTTTAGGTCTGAAAACGGGTCTGGATTTTCGAAAGGGAAGGTCTGAAAACAGGTGTGGGTGAATAATGACATTTTTTGTGAAAGTTAATTGTTCAAACAACTACTCCGCAGTATAAAGACAAATCATATCCTAGCCTCTGAGATGTCAGAATGTACCGTTTCTTTTGATCCGGACTCACTGACAAGAACGGGTAGCACGGACAGACACGCAAGTACACATGTATTTAGCATGTGCTTTTCACCAAATGAATTTAAAATAACCTGTTCCAGGCGTTCAGATAGCAGAGCGCAATGTTCGGATTGTGGGGAGCGAGTTTAATCGTACGTGGAGGAAACCACGGCGAGGGAAAAAAACGAGGGGTGAGTGGTCTATACCGTTTATTTTTTCTCGTCAATCTTTCGACCGCGCTCTACTATCTGAACGCCTTGAACAGGCTAATTTAAAAGGCGGTATTTTATCTCGGGTGAAACACTTGTGTTTGGTAAATGTTCTCTCTTAAATTTACGTACGTCACGAAGATATGATTCATTCAATTTCTAACTACGCTGAAAAGTTTTTAGAAGGCATCGAGTGGTTATGCTCACCTTTCAAGGCAGACAGTTGATCTAGAGGATACCGTTCCATTCAGTCAGCGCAGATCAGTTCAACCGGCGACTGCCTCCAGATGGGTGAAAAAAGTTTTAGTTTGGATAAGGAAAAAAATCATTAATTATCTCCTTCGAGGAGGACTTCCTGTCATTGTAATTGCCGTTTCTTTTAAAAAATTTCTAGTCAGACAGATAAAGCTCTTGATATAATTTATGGCGCCGCCGGAAAGAAACTTTAATTTCCTTAGTTTTTATGTTACTTTGCAGGCCAAATCATGTCATTGCCGGCTTCATCGCGCTGTCAAATCGAGTATCTCACTCACTGTTTAGTCATAATTAGCAGAAAAGTCCAAAAACTATCAACTAATAATAACAATATAAAGGCTAACAATTCAAACTTTACTTTTAATTAAATAAGAATCTGAAGAATTGAAATTAAGACAAGCCACATTTTTTCTACAAGCGACTCACTCAGTTCGTCAAGAATTTAGAAGGATCGACAATCGGAAAAAAGAACTTTCTCTTAAGTACCGTGTTGATGAACTGCCTTGTAGAACAATCTCTGCCGGAAACAACAGACGAAGAATATAGTCCTTATCGAGAAGACTTTCACTCTGTTGAAGACTTCATGTGACTGGATTTCGAAAACGTTCAAAATCTATTTTCAATCATGATAGCAATGAAAAAAAAACTAACAATAGTAATTTCCCCTTCCTCTCCTTTTTCTTTTCTTTCTCAGCGTGATTTCAGGTTTTTTGGGGTGGGGGGTGTTGGTCAAATGTAATTTTCAATGCCTTCACGTTTAAAAAATCCAGTTGAGTATGTATTTACTCTCACTGCACTCTGCCCACACTTGAGACTCTACGAGTATTTAAAATCGGCACGATTACTGAATTGTGCAGCCTCTCCGGCGTTTAGGAGCGTTCCATGATCAGTCTCCATAATTTGCAACACTCAGGCTTTGCTACAATTGACTGTAATAATTTGTTTCAGTTGAAAGTTCTGTGTGTTTTTTGCAGGCCCGCCGTCAGTGTGGCCCTTTATTCTCAGACTCTGGTTAAAAATTTGGTGTGAAGAGCCTGAGATCAGTGGTCTTCTTTTTTGGCAAACTGTGCTTAACGGTTTCCTGTTGTTGTCAAGAATTTGTCTGTTATTTCCCGCGTCCGAAGAAATGACAATTTAGAAACTCTGTGTGCCTGTCATCCTTGCCAGCAATGTCTGCATTGATAGTAGAAAGAAAGATTTTTAAGTTTGCACAGGCATATATGTGTCGAAATACGGCCCCTACGAAACAGGCAATGAAATCTCTTTTATTCACAAAGGGAGTAACATCTGTTTCTTTCTTTAGTTAACAAGACTGAATAATCCATCTACCTGAGTAACGTCTTGTTTTTTTTTTCAAAATGTTTTTCTTTATTCTTGAAACTTATTTTAAACTCAGGGAATACATGTTCTTAACTTAAAACAATCTTTCCTAACTAAATTGTTACATGCAGCGAAAGTGACGCATTTCCAACCACGGGCACGCGCACAACTGAGCAAATTTAATTTAGTTGTCAGTACCGACTTAGAGAAATATAACTAATAAAACATTCAAAATAAGACCACGACGTCTTTGTGTAATCCAATAAAACTGGTCAAATAAAGCCAATCTGTTTACGGACACAGCTTAATTTAAATTCAAATTTAAATTGAGACAGTTTTGCTATCTATAGAGGAAAGATATTTCTCTGTACGAACAACAATGCTATTTACATCTTAAAAAAAGGCCATAGGACGTTATCACAACGCTTTGAAAAAATCCTTCTCTTTCCAATTTGCAAACATACAAAACGTCATGTATCGCTATCATAAGCTAAAAGTCTTATCCTAGCTTATCACGAACAGTTCATATTATAGCATTGGTACCAGAGCGGAAAGAAAGGGCATCCGCTCGCGTTAGCGTGGAAGCTAAAGACTCGGAGAGTTACTCGAAAAGAAACCTTCTACAAAGTGTTTTCATTTTTGATACCTAAAATTGACTATCTTCTTTGCTCTCAAAGCTGTTTGTTTTCTCAATGGACAAGTTGGTCTTAATGGTTGAAGTCTGGATGACTTTGGTGATCATTTTTGGCAGTGAAAAAGTATCAGGTACTGACTGGTTTATTTCAGAAGAGATTTTTCACATTTGATGAATTATAAGCTCAATCTTGATCTGACTCTCAATGACAGCTTAATTTCGTTATTCTGGAATATCGTCTTGAATAATTGACTGATTGATTTTAAGCCATTTTGCATTTTTGATAATGAAGGACGGGAAATAGAAGATCAAGCGTGATTATTAGGAAGACTGTTGAAAGGCAAAGAAAAAGTGTTCACGTGATTCATGAGAATGTTTATAACAATCACTGCGACCGTTTTACAGGGCTTTAAAAAGGAGACGTATTCTTGTTCATTTCCTGATATTTATGCGATCAGTTCTGTCTATTGCTTTGTGTACTGAAGCCTTTTGTATAATCCGCGTCACTTGAAAATATTATCAGCAGACTGTTAACTAGCCTGTTCTATACTCGTTCAGATAGTGGGGAGCGAGGTAATCGTATCTGGGAAGCGGAAAACGAAAACGAGGAAAAACCCGAGGTCCACTAGCCTGAATTTCATCCGATTACTTCGAGTCGTTATTACTCCTTGGGTAACGACGTTACTTAGGGAGCAATAAAGACTCGAAGTAATCGGATGAAATTAAGGCTAGAGCTCCACTCGTTTTTTGTTTCAACCTCAATCAATTTTTACCCCGCGCTCTACTATCTGAAAGCCTGGGACCTGCTTACTGTTATTCAGCGCGACGTCTCAGTACAGTGTGAATGATCAAACTAATTTTCGCGCCTCGTTGGCAGTGGAGGTAAAGCAGAGGTTCTTAGCTTCTTACTGTTTGTGTCTTGGAGAAATGGAGAAATGGAGAAATGGTGGGAGACTGAAAACAGTATATATATATGCGTCAAGTCTTAATTAGATCTATATATTCCATCGAAGGCTCCGTGCGCATGCCTTTGGCTCGTTCTGCCTCCGCTGCGGATTGCTTAGTCTATAATTTAGCCGCTTGTTTCATCTCGTTTAGTTCGTTGGTGGATGGAAACGAGCCAAACGAACAGTAGGTGGTTAATTGTAGCTTGGTATACTGTAGTTTATCAGAGTCGCTACAGTGCACAAAACCACAAGCCAAATTTGTCTGAGCTGCGGGTAGAAATTCTAATTGTAGTTATAGGATCAGAGGTATAAACCAGCCGGAAAGAGTACCTTTATACGTTTAAATTAGGAAAGTCATGTAATTTAAAACAAAATGTGATGCACAGAAGCGGAGATTTGGCTTAAACTAACGGTCAATTTGAATATTTCTACTGTCTATACTGTGTTTGCCATTACTATTCGATGATACAAACGTGTTTGGCGAGAGATCTGTTATAGAGTAAATCTTGATTAAGTTTAAGGCGCCAAATTTCATCTTGATCGCCGCTATTGCCATTGTGTGAACTAGGTTATTTTTTGTCGATTGAGCAAAATTAGAGTGCTCTGAGGGACAAACTCGGACAAAACTGTCAAGACAGTTCCGTCTATTCTATAACTTTTGCGCCAAACTACCATCTCCTCTAAACAGAAAAAGTAAGACCCCTCTCCACCCCCTTTTCAAAGTTGTTTTGGTCTAAAAACCAACGTGTATAATTCGATTCTCGTGTTACCCTAAACAATATTGGATAAGGTGAGGGGGGAACACTGGCATTTAGTTGACGACGGTTTCCATTTTTCGCCAGGACTACAGGAAAAAATAGGTACATTTGCCATGTGCCTTAAAAGGTTTTGACCAAGGTTGGATCTAAGTTAGAAAAACTGTAAAGAAATTATGCCGCTGAACTTCAGTGTATTATTATGTTGGTTTTTTGTCTGAATGGACAGTTTAAGGAAAATTAAGAGAGATGTGTTATGTTATAAAGAAATTTGACATCGCTCTAAATTTTGTAATTTCTCCTGCCCAGTGCAATCATAAATTAAGCTGACATTGCTCTCACTAAGCTTGAAAAGGTCAGGAACATGGATTTACTAAATTTCTTTTTTAGCAGATGCTGAAGCATGTTGGATTTCCTACGAGAAGATTGGATGTTTTGAAGATCACGGCAGACGACCATTTCCACAGTTATTGCTAAACAAAAGAAAAATTATCAACTGGCAAAACTGGAACGAGTTCCTTGAAACGTGAGTGCATTAATAAGTCATTTCTATAATTAAAGGTACCTATAATCTCAGTCCGAGAACAATAGTTACGATTGTAATACAGTTGTTAAACCACATTTCATGGAAAAATAAACTCAACCAGTAGCCGAGCTGAGCCGATTAATGAATACGATAACTCCATGCTTTCCGCCATTGCTGATGTCAAAGATTTCTTCAGAACGGGTCAAAGTATATGTAAATCGGAGCATGAGCATAGCTGTGCTCTGATTGGTTGTTACCAATAGGGCGTGACAAAGTTTCGGCGAACATTATTTCTATAAATAACTTAAAACGAGAAAGGGTTGACTCCCAGAGCTTGTATGGGAGATGGAGGCTCCTATGAATCGGCTCTTGACTCAACGCGGCCACAAATGACGTCACCTTCGGGACGAACCCCTTTCACACTGGGGCGAGTCCTCTCACCGCTTTGAACAAATCCGTTTTTGATTCGTTCCGCTCGCAGGTTGGTGTGCGAGTGCGCTAACGTAACTGCTGCCGCTGGCTACACATATTTTGGTATTCAGTTCTTTGGCGAGTGTTGGACAGGAGAGAACCCAGATGTGGCATACGATTCTGGTGGAAAATCAAATTCTTGTTTTGGTCAAAATTTTCTCCCATGCGATGCGTCCTTCTCAAGCTGTGCAGGAGAAGAAAACGTGAACTACGTTTATAGGATTAATCTGGGCCAGTCCTCTCCAGGTAAATTAATAACCATGTATAAACGTAAAAGCAAGTGTTCATTGATTTTTGTACGGAGTTTGTTTCACGCCTTTGTTTTAATGAAGTGATTTTTAAGGACGGTCGTTACTACGTAAAGGTCATTATCACCTGCAAATTGTTTGATTTTTAAGTAAATATATTGTCTTCATTAGCATATAGAAAAATGAACAAAGATTATTGCAGAAAATATAAATGCTGATATTATGGTCTATATTATGGTCAACTAGCCTTTATGCTCCTTTCTAAGCCATGTAGGAAGGTCAGTTAAAATCAATAAAGTTAATAGGACTATAAGTGGAGTCCAATTCGGTCTGTAATCATACGTCAGTGATTACATGTAATCGTAAGGGCGACCGTATAGCAGGAATCCGGTATGGATTGGACTACAAGAAGTCTCCTTAGAATCGAAACGAGGTTAAGTGCTCAGCCTTTGATATATACGGAAATGATATTTCATTCTCATGCAAATAAAACTCAATTCCACAAGAAAGGTTGTGCACTTGGCCTCATTTTGAAAGTGAGGGATACTTAGTCATCGTTATAACAAAATTCATTGATATTTTTTACCTTTTTTGCAAAAGTAAACACAAGAAATTCCCAGAGATTTTTGCTAGTAGTGAAAAACAAAAACAAAAACAAACAAACAACAACAACAACAACAACAACAAAACAAAAAACATTCAAGTGCGAGCGATGGGACTGTCCAATTACTTGGGTATGACCCGTACTGCCCTATTAGTGCTAAAATCAGGACAGTTGAGGGCCGCAGTCAGATTTTACAATTTTATTATTGTTATGATTAAGGAAAAAAACAGCTCAAACGCGAATTAAATAGATTAACTACATCCTCTTCTTTTCTCTTTAGCTTGTGAAGACATGGATCCCGGCAAATGTCAAGGGTTTCGACTCTTTTGCAACGTTTACCCGAACATCAAATCACAATGTCCTTTGACTTGTAATTCGTGTTAAAATACAAGAAATTTTCAATGACAAAACAATTAGTAAAGAATTTACTTTTAATTGTACCTATGATCCTTCACTGTCTCTTTGGATGTAGAAGCCAACTGACAAACATTTTTAAGCCTATATTTGCTGGTGTAAAAATGTGTGATTGGGTCGATTACTATACTGTCGGCCTGTGGGTTTTGCATCTAAGAAGACCTTAACAACCACAACGATGGGTACAGGTAAGGGCGTGGTTTTGGAGGGAAGCAGTACTTTCCTGCCTAGGGTGTCCTTTTTGCCACTACATTTACAGTCCTTTGATGAGTTTGCTAAAAAACACCGGACCCAAGCCGCTCTCAAAACATCTGAGCTATACCTTTAAATGCATGGAACTAACATGTGAAAATGACTTAATTGACGTGGCTTACTCTAGAATTTCGGCGACACTTTATGAATGTCTATACAGAGAAAGAAATTTAAAAAGCCAGTTTGCACTGACAGGTTTTTGTCATCGGCTTTCCCTTAAATCAGGGTTTTTGGTTTTGAGGGATTTAGGCGGCTGTCAGTTTTTGAGAACTTTCGCTATGCACACCTATCCTAGATCGGAAGTTTGAGCTTCAGATTTACGGCAAATGGAAAACGGCACAGATGACCAGTCCACATAGGTGAATCAATTTTTTGCGCCGCTAAAATATCATTCTCCTTGTTTTTCACTTATGGAATCCAGTGCCCTGAAGCTTAATCTGTCTCAGGGTTTGAACCATGTTAGGGCGCGCAAATTTCCGGGCTACAGTTGTGGCCATGTGCTCAGACAAGATTTTAATTTATGGCTTTCAGGACGAATATTTTGGCCACTCAGAAGGAGCGGCGTGTGATACAGACTTCCTATTGACGCCTGAAGCAAGAAGGCATATAAACCTTGAATCATCAAACACGTGCGAAGGTCAAACATTCCAAAAGGTCAACTAGTAAACAAATAACAACTTAAACACCTTGAAACTAGATCGAGAACTCTTGCTCAGTTGTATTTTCGCGTAGATCTCAGAATCGCTGAGGTACTGTCTCTGAGTCCCATTGGCGGTTTCAGGGCCACATTCAACGTTTTCCCGCGGACAACTCGCGGGATACGATCCATCGAAAGTTGCTCGCATAAAAATTTGCCTCTAGCGAATAACGAAAGTGGCGAGAATGTTTGCCGCACAACCGCGTTCATGAGAAGCTGGAGTGAAATGTATGTGCTGTGCTGTGAATCGCTGTCGAGTATTCGTAGACAGCCTCCAGTAAGGAAATGCCTGTTCGACAAGAGACCTAGCCTGTGCTGCAGACGAAACTACACTCTGGTTAAGTCCGTCTGCTAAACTGCGCCGAAATCCTTCTTCTGGGCCCCCAGCTGTGTACCAGGATTTGAGTACGCGCCATGATTGGCCTGTTGAAAATGCTATTGTCGATTTGCCAATCAGATTGAAGGGAAACTCGAAACGCATTTCCGGTAATTCGTTAAACCTATTGGGGGCCCGGAACAAGGATCTCGGCGCTGCTTCGAAGGCGTGACCCGCCAAGGTTAAATTAAGTCTGCGACGCAAGCTACAAGACAGCATGCGCTGTTGGGGATCGAAATATAATATAGGCCATCATCAATGATCATGGTTGTGACAATGTAACACCGACTAGGAGAGGTTGTGTGTTCAGCGGTTTTAATGAAAACAAGGGTTTTTGCAGGTTGCTCAGTCTCGCGGACTCACACCTCCCTTAGGTCGATCTTATTTTGGGGTTATATTTGCCAATGATCATTCATATGCTATTATAACATAGCTACAGTATTCGCCTAATTTTTTTATTTAAGTTAGCATATAGGTTATGAGATTCCTTTTGTTTTAAGATGTTTTTGATTTATATAGTAGATATTAGGCGATATTTGAATTATAGCGGAGCTCTCGCGCGCGAAGCGCGCAGCGGAGCACCATGGGTAAAAAAATGTGGTAAACTACCCATCCGAGAAAATTTGGTAATCACGTGACCGTACACCGACCGCCCGCCCGACCGTCCGTCCGCACCACAGACATACCAATGTAAAATAATTCAGTTAACAGGTATGGCAACCCAAATGCAACTCAAGGTTTTATTTGGAAAGAAATCGCATGGCCGCCCGGACTTTCAGAAAGAAAAAACAACAACAAAGTCGTGTCTTTTTCAACGTTATTTTTGATGTTTACACTCACGTGGATAACAGAGAAACTGAGCTAGAGCTAGTTTCGGAGAACACAAGAGAAGAATTTTGTAGGAAGAAAAACATGAAAATTCAAAGCGGCTGTGAGACAATGAGAAATGCTCGTGGCCAGGAAGGTGAAACTGAGCGGCAGTGAAAAATAAAAGCGAACATCAACACAGGAGACAAAATATTGGGTAAGAATTCCTCCATAAAAATAATGTGCAACTAGGAAGTTTGACGTTTAGTCCTACAAAACAGCGTTGTAGTTGTGCAAAACAACGGCAAAGAAGGACGAAAAGCGTGCTGCACGTGCAAATTTTGTTTTTTTGCTAATTAGAAAAAAAAGTGTGCTGCACGTGCAATTTGTTTTTTTGCTAATTAGATCTATTG